GGCTACATAAACAAAGGGATAGAATCAAGATGACATGGTTAATACCACTTAATAATGCCTTGGTACGGCCACACTTGGAAAACTGCATTCAGTTTTGGTCGTCATGAGAAAAAAAAGATTTGGAGACTCTAGAAAGAGTGCAGAGTAGAGCAACAAAGAGGATTAGGGGACTGGAGAGAAAAACATATGAAAAACAGTTGCAAGAACTGGGTATGTCTAGTTTCATGAAAAGAAGGACTAGGGGAGACATGATAGCAGTGTTCCGATATCTCAGGGGTTGCCACAAAGAAGAGGGAGTCAAACTATTCTCCAGGGCACCTGAATGTAGAATAAGAAGCAATGGGTGGAAACTAATCAAGGACAGAAGCAACTTAGAACTGAGGACAAATTTCCTGACAGTGAGAACAATTAATCAGTGGAACAACTTGCCTCACAAGTTGTGAATTCTCAAACACTGGAAGTTTTTAAGAAGATGTTGGATAGCCATTTGTCTGAAGTGGTGTAGTGTTTCCTGCCTAAGCAGGGGGTTGGGCTAGAAGACCTCCAAGGTCCCTTCCAACTCTGTTATTCTATTCTATACTTCTGATAAACCTTCCCAAGAAAACAGCAGGTACTTATCCAAGCAATCACCAGAACTGATTTGAAGGTGCATTTTTCTTTTAAAAACAAAAAAAGGTTTTCTTTAAAAACAAAAAGGCCAACTTACAAGAAGAAAAGCAAAACTTAAGGCTGTTTCCCCAGATCACTCTTGGTGTGTTACATTTGTATTGAAAGCTGCAGCACAAAGGTGAATCCAGTTGGTGGTCAGTGCTCCATGACTCTTGTTAAAACACCACTTTGATTATTTATATCCTGGATTCCTATTTGAGCATTTATCAGACACCATTTACAAAATGCCTTGTGGTGTGGCATCTACAAACAGAGCACGAGTTTCCAGCCCCTCCTACCTAGTATTGTAAAATGCTCACCTGTACACAATATCATTCCAACTTTTGTACAAATGTAACTACATTGACTGTTTTAAATGAGAAAGGTTGCTTTAAACAACTCTCAGCTCCCTTGGCAAGAATGGAAGTACGCTGGAGTTTATAGGAATTGTACCTGGCGTTTGTCACAGTTACTTTTGAAAGCCCTCCAGTGGGGGATCAGGCTTCATTGTATAAAAAGCTGCACAAAAAAGTATTTGAAACCTTTGGATAACATACAAAGGTCTATGAGAATGGCATCTGTATTGTTGTGCCGTGCCTTGTTTTTACAAAGCATTCCCTTCCATGGCTGAGTCTTTTTCAACCAGAGAATAGCAAACCTTGAAACTCATCACTCTTTTATAGTATGAAATGAGCTCTTTTTACATTTTATTTTTAAGACCTGTGAGTTGATACGATGCTTAGTTGTATTGATCGTGCATTTTCTTACCCCTGGAAAAAGAAAAGAAAAGAAAGTTTCCCGAGAACATATTCAAAAGTGTTGGAACAAAACAGCAACAGAGGAATATTGCAAACCTTTGCTTCTTGCAGAGGGTTATATTTTTGGTCCTTCTTAGACGATCTGATTACAACAATCTCAGTGGAGCAAGCTAGATTTTATTCGAGGGGAAATGTGACAATATGACATCTTGGTAGATTCTCTGTTCTTCTTGTATATAATTCCTCCTTGGGATTCAAATTAGATTTTTTTCCATGATATGCCCTGATAACATAAATGCTATTTCCTACTTTTTGTATTTTCTTAATACACATTGTGGCTCTTTGTTGCTATCTGCAATTGAATTCTCATTCTCATTCTTTTTTCTGTCTCTCCATATATCCCATAAATGGCAACAACTCTCTGGTATCTGGGACTCTGTCTCTGGAGTAAAACTTCATAGCACCAAGGATTAGTTTATTTATTTGTGTTATTTTAATGCTGCCACACTCCCAAGGGATTACTGCAATTATAAAGCATAAAAGCACATAATGAAACACAAAATTACACAAAACAAATCTTAAAATACTGATTATATGTCGTAGGCATGTTTGAAGGGGGACAAGGTGGCTCAGTGGCTAAGACGCTGAGCTTGTCAATCAGAAAGGTTGGCAGTTCGGCAGTTTGAATCCCTAGCACCACGTAACGGAGTGAGCTCCTGTTACTTGTCCCAGCTTCTGCCAACCTAGCAATTCAAAAGCATGCAAAAGTGCAGGTAGAAAAATAGGAACCATCTTTGGGGGGAAGGTAACAGCGTTCTTTGGCATTTAATCATGCCGACTACATGACCACGGACACCTGTTCGGATAGTGCTGGCTCTTCGGTTTGAAACTGAGATGAGCACCGCCCCCTAGAGTCAGGAACAACTAGCACATATGTGCGAGGGGAACCTTTATCTTTATATTTGAAGGACAAGATTAAACAATTAAAGCTGTTTGAACAACTTTTACAGAGGGGGGTAAGTGTTAGTTCTTACATGGTCAGTACAAAAGTTCAGTGTTGCTGTGCAAAAGAGGAGTTGGGTAGTCTATTATATAGGTAGTCCTTGAC